CTTTGTGTAATAATATCAATTTCACTCTTTAGCAGCTAGTATGCATCAGTGATGTTTTTTTCTCCCTCACACCCAGTCACGTATTACTTTTATTTTTATCTTCCTTACCACATTACCATCTGAGAAAGGAGGTTAACATCATTTCCCTCTTGCTCTTTCCTCACAGAATCAAACACTTGCTCAAATCTGCAGCATGCCTTATAACATAGCAAGGTCCTCAACATGCTTATTCTTAGGATAAGCTCAGACTTAAAATAACCAAATACAGAACCACAAGATTATGGATGACAGATCATGCTTATATATACCCAAAGGAGGTACTAAAAACATTTTCTATGCCTGTTCAGTAATAAGTTCCTTAAACCCAATTCAAGCAGAGAAAATAGATGTTAAATATGAAGGGAATGGATGGGCTGAGTTACTAAAAGCAAATTTGCTGTAAATAATGCAGTTCATTTAGTTTGTTTACAAGTGGAATATCTGACCAGACAATCATACCTATAAATAACACCCAAGTCATAATTTATGAAATCTTTTATCATTACAATGCCACCATGAACATGTTTACTGAGTTGGAAATCCAAATTTAATCCTCAACTTTGATTTTTCAAGTACTTTTTCTTTTTCTAATGAAATGTTGTTTTGTCCCCTTTACCTTTATTTGTAGTTTCAAGTGTTATGCATTAACAGCCGACATGTTTTGCGAGCCACTTTGGGCACTGTCTGCTGTGGACAAGTAGTAAATAAACTTACTTCGTTGGGACTTAACTCACTATGGAATACATTTAAGACTGTAGCCTTAAAATGGCAAGATGCAATAAACAGGACGAGAGGGAAAAGTTTAGATCATGGTAGACTAAGTAGGGCAGTAAAGAGGAATTGAGAGAGCCTCAAATTCAAGTAAAATTACTTCATGGAAGATGATCCAACCCATCTCTTAATTTGATGCAGGCTGTCCTCAAAAAATGCATACCATTCTATACTCACCAGCAAATAGGCAGGCAGCCCAAGGACCATGTAATGAGCAGTGTCCTCCAAAGCACTGAGGAATGTAATTAAGTGCAGCTCTTACACTTTCAATTAACTCCCCACCTGGGGTAAGTGAAATAGCTTTCAGGTGACAAGATGCAACATTACTTCTGTTGCCAAAGAGTTATGGTATTCTGACTTTGTTACAAGCCTTAAAGCCTCGCAGTTTGATCTTTACTTACTTGTTTATTTATTGAATGTATATGTAATACACCACTTTCTCTAGGGATGGGGTGCAACATGGAATAACAATTGAAGACAAACAGCCTTGTGCATTGGAATGACTTATGAGGCCATGCAAAGTCTATGTCTCCCCAAATGAGTTTCTGTACATGGTCTGGCACAAGAAGAGAGGGAGTGGGTGGCATCTGGTCAGTGGCCTTTACTAGTAATTGTGCAGCAATGCAATAGGAAAGCAGGCAAAATGTGCCTGGTCCAAGCAACATACCTCTTCAGTCTCTTACCTGCTTCTTGGCCACAACATCCATAGTCAGGGTTGTCATAATTTCTATCAAAGCAGTTTAAGCTTCCAGTGCTCCATTCGGTGTCCTAAATCAGTGGTTCTTCAGATATTATATGCTAGGAAATAGCACTTTATTTCAATGTGTCAGCAACTAGTACTAAGTTTAGGCTAATAACCTAATACAGTTTCTTTCTTGCCTGGAAACTCTCCAGATATCAGTAGCCAATGGCTCTCAAACCAGTTGTGGTTTAATGTATTGTCGAAGGCTTTCATGGCCACAACCTCTGAGAATGCCTGCCACAGATGCAGGTGAAACATCAGGAGATAATGCTTCTAGAACATGGCCATACAGCCCGAAAAACCTACAACAACCCAGTTGTGTTGGAGGACTACTTTGGCACTGTCCTAAAGTTTTTTTCATGCTGGAAAGATTAAATACCAGAGACACTATATATAGACAGCCCCCAAGTTATGAACAAGATAGGTTCTGTAGGTTGAAAACTTCAGTTGAGACACCTTTTCCCCATGATAACTCTTTCAGGACTAAAATTTCCTTCCTAGGGGTAGATCAATCAATCAATCAAAACTTAATTTGTATCCCACCCCCTCTCCCTGTAGGGACTCAGGGTGGGGAACAACATGGAATAATAAACAAAGCAAATGGACAATATAAACAATCCATCATAAATTAAATCATCATAAAAGCAAAATATATTAAAACAGTAAAACAAGGTTAAACTCAATTTCCAAAGTTAAAAGCCATTTTAAATTTTATCTCACTTCCTGTTGTTTCACCCCTGTTCTTAACTATGAGTCGTATGTAAGTCGGATGTTTGTAACTTGGGGATTGCTGTAGTTTTGCAGTCTCATTTGCCACCTACGATACTGGGATCTGAAACTATTTAAAAAAACCATAATCAAGCATAAGATGAATTTGAAATGGATAACTGGGAAGGGGTATATTAGGTAGGCTGATTGTTTCTAGGAAATATGATGACCTAGTGAGCAATCATTTCCTGAAATTTGATTCTGCCTTAGTGGCTCTACGCTTACTTACCACATTACAGCCTAGATTCTGTAACAACAATTCCAGGCTGCCAAAAGAAATGAATCCATGACTTCTCTTCTACATTCTCCCCATGTTCTGCTAAAAGGCAGCATAAAACCATTTTTTTATTCAGAGCAAGTTGCAGGAAGGAATCAGTCTATGCAACTAATGTTCAAAAGGATGGCATTTAAGTAGTGATCAAAAGATGAAACTATTATGGTTAGGCAAGTGTTTCATGTTCATTATCATTACTTAGTCATGGTTTTGACACAATTGCCACAATTGTAACTTACCTCTCAACTTATTTTACTGGACATCATCTGAGTCCATTATTGATGACAATCAGACCAGACCTGAATAAAGTTCCTTTCTATTAGAAGACCTGAATAAAGTTTCTTTCTGGAAGTCAATTCATGAGGCATTACTTGGATAAATACTTGATTAAGTATAAGCTGATACAGGATTGGGTTGCTGTGAGTTTTTTGAGCTGTATGACCATGTTCTGGTAGCATTCTCTCCTGATGTTTCACCTACATCTGTGGCAAATATCCTCAGAGGTTTGTTCAGATGTCTGTCGGAAATGAGGCAAGTGGAATGTATAAATATATGTCCAGGGTAGGAGAAAGGACCCTTGCCTGTTTGAAGCAAGTGTAAATATTGCAATTGGCAACCTTGATTAGCACTGAGTGAGTAGCCTTGTAGCTGCAAAGTCAATCAGTGTGGGTATTTGCATAGAGGTAGTTGGGCTGTTGTGCCTGGAGACACCATTTGTTTGGGATGTGTTAACTGGCATTTGATTGTTTGCAGTCCAAAATTCCCCTGTTTCTGAGTGGTTTTCTTTATTTACTGTCTTGATTCTTGTGTTTTTTAACACTGGCAACCAGATTTCGTTCATTTTCATGGTTTCCTCCTTTCTGTTGAAATTGTACACATACTTGTGGATTTTAATGGCTTCTCTGTGTAATCTGACATGATGGTTGTCAGAGTGGCCCAGCATTTCTGTGTTCTCAAATAATAATTATATAAAAATATGAATAATTGCAACATTCACACATGCTTCAAATAGACAAGGGTCCTTTATCCCACCCTGGACATTCCACAGATACACTCCACTTGCCTCATTTCCAACTGAACCTCTGAAGATTGCAGTCACAGTTGCAGGCGAAATATCAGGAGACAACATGTTGAAACAGGATTCTTCTGAACATTATCATCAATTACAACTAGGTCATTAGAAACCTTTATTCTAAGGTGATTTGTTCAAAGATTTCAATCAGAAGACAGCTGCTATCACATGTGATGTTAACAGACCTTCTGGATCCACCCTTTTATACAAGAATACTAGGAGACACTAAATTGTTTTCACAAGTATTTTGTTTAGAAAGATTATGTAGAAATGATTTTGAACAAGGTTTGTATATCATCTTAAAGACAAAAATGTATTTATACTGCATTTGCAATCACCGGTATCTTAAGATATGTATGTGGTCTATTTTATTTGTAGATGTAACCTTTAAAGTATCCAGAAAAGTCACTTTTAATATAGTTTTCAGCTGTTTGTAGTTTAACGGAGAGGTGGCCTTATTGCATCTCTATGACGACTATCACGTAGATATTAGCGCCTAACTATAACATAAACTAGACACAAGGTAACAGTTCTAGCAGAATAGTTCCTGTATGTGTGCATTTAATTCAATGTAATCTGACTAATCTTGGTTCCTTGGAAATCATTGAATGCAATTAGGAATCCAGTGTTTTCAAGATTGATCTTTATCCGTTTACCTTTTGCCGAGGGAAAGCACCTTCCATTCACTTGTCTTTTCTGGATGCTGGGGAAAAGAACTTGTGTAAGTGCACCAACAAAAACTGTGATTAATGCTCACTGTCTCATGGTCAGAACTAGCGAGCCTTCCTCAAATCTTTAAGAGTCAAGCTCTTAGGCTATCTCTCAGAAGTACTGATAGTGTTTGGCACTGGTGTAGATAGCATTGAAAGGCAAACAAAGGATGCAAGAGAGGAAATTCAAATCCAACAAGGGAATAGGGACTGGGAGAAAGCATATGTTCCGGAAAGAGGAGGCTCATAATCATAGTTTTAGGAAGCAAGAGATACGTAGATCTACACCAACAACATGTGTGAAGAAAGCAAAGATATCCAGCATTTCCACAAAGATATGTTTGGGCAAAACACTCAATCAGAAATTTCAGTTTAGTCAAAAGGAGAAAAACTCCACAAATATATTCTAAACAGTATTTCCTCTCAAACAGAGTTTAGGCACAAGGACAGACTCCTTGGAAGTTTATGACTCTCCACAGCCATTACAAAGTATTGATTTTGTGGGGGGTGGGTGGAATCTGTAGTATGAGAATTGTATAATTTCTGACAATACACACACACACACCAAAGAAACAAGACAAACAACTAATTTAGATAGCCAAATATTCACAGAAAAATAATCAGTTGTGTAATCTCACTTTTTATACTGTTGGAAACTAAATTTTAAAAAAAGTCACATTGATACATATTCTTATTCTAAATGTATTTACAAATAAATCTACAAATTTTATACACATTGTCATAATCAAATGCCTTATGTTCAGCTTTTAAATTAAGGCCATTATTAATTTTTCAGAAGCTCATAAGGCTGTAGCTGGTACCACCCTTTGACTCTTTACCCCAGTTTGTACACATTCACATTTGGCTCCTTAGGAGATTTTTAAAAAATGCAAATTACAGACATCTGTCCTGAATTTCTGAAGGATGAAACCAAGTTATCATTCATTTTTCTGCCATTCACTAACAGCTACAATTAATGGGCTGGGTCCAGCATCTATCTTCTGTAAATGGAAGCGCTCTATGGATAGGAGGCACTTTTGTCCAGTTTTCAAGGATTCTTCTTTCTAGCTGTACCACACATTATTTCATCCAGCAGCAAGCTCTCCTTGACCTTCTGTGTGGCATTTATAGGACACTGGATGGTCTACCACAGAGAAGAGAGGGCATGCATGTCTGCTTCCATCAACTCAGTTGCACACACTGAAATCTAATCTAGGCCAATGTATATAGGCAAACATATAGGACAAAGGGAAAACTGGAGGAAGAAGCCATATGCAAACTAGATCACATTTTAATGCAAATTTACCTGGGAGAAAGCACCACTGAATTGGCTAACATGTGAGGAAAATACTAAGACTGTGATCCTTTGCAATTTATTTGGTCCCAATGAGCTCAGCAGGGCTTGCTTCTGGGTAAATACGTAGCACTGCACTACTAGAATGCAATGCTAAACATTACAATATCTGGGGGGGGGGGGGGAATCTAATTGATGAATACACACAAGGTTAAACTCAGTAATCTCTCTCCTGAGCTAGCTATCTCACAACCCAGTGATTTTGGAGGATGTGTGTGTATCAAAATACTACTAGCACATGCAGGCTAGTATTATTGTATCAGTCCAAAAAACATTGGCTGATTTTTTGGGGAGAAAGAGACTTTTTCACACATTCAATTGTTTCATGCCATAAACACTAGATATTTGTAAAAATAACATTAAAAAGAAAAAAGTTACAATTTACAAGTGTTCATAAAAGTGAATAATTGAAAGGAAATTCAAGATCGTCTAACAAGGATCCACCTAACAACAATAAGAAGAAATTCCAGGCTGTGACCAGTCACACATTGGAAGCGGAATCCACAGTCCAGGTGTCTCTTCTGCAAGACAGCTTTGCAGAACTGGAGTTTCCTTCAGAAACATCTGATTCAGAAAAATACTGCTAAACACGAGTGGAACATCAGTGTCCATTACTTATTTCGACCTGAAACAAGAACATACAAATTACTGATGGTCAGATGGAACAGAAGCAATTTTGTACCTTTTGTAAACTCTGTAATGCCATGTTGATTGGTTTTTTTTAGCAGCAATGAAAAAACATTTTAGTGTGGTGAATATTCGGTGATCTTTGATGTTTGCAAAATCCTTTTAGCACTCACGCCCTTTCATATTCTAGTCTAAATCCAATATTAGTTTAAATTAGACTAGAACTTCTGAAGTAGCATTTACTTAAGTGCCCACTTACAAAACTCTCAATGATTCAGCGTGTCCACTCTATCTGGGATTAACAACTGGATTTAAGACTGCTGATGCTGGTATCATTGTTCTATTTGAGCACTGCTGTGGCTTACTCAATCTTTAAAGGCTCCTCAGTACCTTTTATGGATTAAATGGAACAGAAACCAAATACATGAGGTAACAACATGCATCTGTTGGGAAATATTTGTGAATGAGAGAAATACTGTCATCGCATGCATCTTATGCTATCTCAAGAGAATTTGGGATTGGATATAAAGCAACAGTCACAAGACTCTTCTGCACTGTTGGTCAACTGCTGAACACCAAGCTTTTGCAAGGCGTCACTACTACCTACAGATCTCAGCACTTAGCAGAATAAGTATGAGGAACCTTAAATGAAGCTGGTCTGGTTTACTCCATTGACTTTTTTTTGGGGAGGGGGGGGGGTCACATTCTGAAGTAAGTAAAGTAGTATTTGCTTATATTTGCCAAACATTTCAAAAGAAATACACATTACTATCTAAACAAAGTTTGAAATGCTCTTGTCCTAGTGCTGAGTCCAGTTCTTCTCATGTGGTAATCTGCAGTTTTCTAGTTCCAATAAGAACTGGAAGAACTGATCTGTAAACCTCTTACCCACAGGAGTGGGGGTTGTTGTTGTTGTTAGTAGTAGTAAGTAGTATTTATATCCTGCTTTTCTCTGTCAAAGGAAACTCAAAACTCAGAGTGTGACAATGTCTGAAACAACAATTCTTTCAAAAACTTCAACCGCTCTATTTAAAAAAATCTTAATGACTTTTGGGTACTTTTTGCCTGAAAACCACATGAAAAAGTCTTGAAATGTACAAAAATATGCAAATACATACTCATCTCGTTAGCTCAAAGCCAACTTATATACAAATCTTATTTTTCCTTGATATCACTCTCAAAACGGCAAATGGAAATGATGAAACTTCACTTCTGATTGCCATTTTGAAAGAAACTTCACATTTTCAAAGAGACTACAGAGGAAAACGGAGGGTGTTGGGTTTGCTGTTGCGACATGTTGGAGACTGGGGGGAAGGGGGACATGGTTGGTCCCTACATCCCATGTAGTTTCCCATCCCTGCCTTAAAGGCTAAAAAACATTCAAATCAGCATAAGCTTTTATTGATAAAGATCACAACATCAGATATAGTACACTATAGCTGTAAAACAATATAATATAATCAGATATTCTTTAACGCTTTAAGCTACAAGTATCTTTGTTCATGTCATCAAGGTTAATTGTGAAATAACTCATGAAAAGGTCACTGCCATCATAGCTGTGCTTGAGAGCTGCTGTAAAAGATCTCATGCCAATGTCACACTAGTCAACATCCACCAATGAGGCAGTGTTTTTATTCCTTGTAGCTCTCCACTTGAGATAAAAACCAGTTCTGGGAGATTTTCTAGATTTCTGTAGGCTTTAAAGAGTGCAGTGGAAGAGGGTGGTTGCCAAAAAAAGAGGAGTTTTGCCTGGTTCTCCTCACAGATGATGTTGTATCACCACAATGACCCAACTGAACCCCCTCCCTCCAGGTATGCTGAATTACATGATTTATGCTAGATTAGATTACACTTGCTCTCATAGAGAAAGGCTATTTAAACACTACACACTGCAACAGTTGGTCTACGAACGCATGAGTACACTGTAGCACACCCACTTGGCTTTAGGATCCAAACAGTATTTTAGGTAGAAACACAGATTTACCTTTAAACCTTCTGTTTCAACCAGGAAATAGCATAATTTTATTCATTCTTAACTGGCTAGTGTATTAATTCTTAATGGAGTGTTATGTGCTCTGAAACTCTGGGAATAGGGAACACTACAAATCCTCAATGACTTAGTGAACAGCAAGAGTGCTGCAAAAAATGAAAGGGCACAGAAATGCCTTCAGGCCTTGATGTAAGGCAGAAAACACATTTCTCTTTCACTCCTGGCTTTCATCTTTAAAAAGCTGCATTTTTCGCAATTTGGATAGTGAAAGGGCCATTAGTTCTGAACCCAGCAGCTTTCCTGGCCCATTTGCAATACAAACTGATACCAATTATCTTTTTGTGAAGCCAAGTAGGCAGCCTGTTGCACAGCAGAGAGAAGCACTGAGAAATTGTGGATTGCACAGTTCACCAACTTCCCAAATTGTTTTCTGGAGCTTGGTTTTCAATGGAAATTCACCTCGAACATTGATATTCTTGTTCTTTAGAGCATATTTGAACTCTGCAAGTGCATAGGCACAGAGGGTTTTAGAAAAATCTGGTTTTGTAGTTGTTGTGTGAGAGAGATTATCCAGGAATAACTGGCAGGTAGAATGAACAGAGAGAGAACAGAGGGAGCTCTCTTAAATGTCTTTCAAAGGTTGGATAATTTATCGATCTAGCTCAGTTAACCATTCTCCAGAGTTTCAGGTAAAAGCATTATATTTCACATTAACTGTTCCTGAGCCTATTTGCCATTGAAGTTAAACTTTGAATCTTTTGCACACATATCTCTTGTTTGGTACGCAGCATATTACCATTGTGTTTGAGGGCTTAAAAACATTACTTGAGTATGTTTGCAATTTTTTTTTAAATTGAAAAGCAATGAACGAAAAATTAACAGGAGGAGGATGTGCCAAATCCTTGTTTGGGGCTAATTTGGACATCCAGATTCAACCTTGAGTCATTTCATACAATCTAGGTCTTATCTGAATAGTAATTCAGAACTCTGAGCTGCAGGGTCACCAATCTGTTTGCATTGAGAAACTAAAGTGGCCATAGTTCTTTTGTGTTTGTTTTTCTCTGAAGGGTGAAATTTGGAGACAGGGTAGCTCCCTTTGAAAGGATGGACCATACCAAACACCAGGCAAATTGATCCAGGGGTGTTTGTGTCAGCCATCTCTAAGTTCAACTTTTAAAACAGTAGTAAAGTCGCACGAAATATGAAGACATGATAACCTCTTGATAGGCGATTAACCCTGACTAATTGCAGACATGTCTGTCCAGGTATTTTTTGGACTAGACATCTTTACAGCTTATTTTCACATATTTAAAGTTGGCTATGTGTTTTACGTTCCTGAGGTATATTTGTGATGTTTGTGTCTTTGTTGTCTGCTAAGAATATCACCTATGCATTGCATAATGCACTGTAACTATGTTAAAACATTTTCCTTTTTATTTATATTATTACTAGCTGCCCCCTGCCATGCGTTGCTGTGGCCCAGTCCGTGTATATGTGTTTTGTGTGTGCATATATTTGTGTAGGGTAAAGGTAAAGGTTTTCCCCTGACATTAAGTTCAGTCGTATCCGACTCTGGTGGGTGGTGCTCATCTCCATTTCTAAGCCAAAGAGCCGGCATTGTCTGTAGACACCTCCAAGGTCATGTGGCCACTGGCATGACTGCATGGAGCACCGTTACCTTCCCGCCAGAGGAGTACCTATTGATCTACTCACATTTGCATGTTTTAGAACTGCTAGGTTAGCAGAAGCTCATGCCACTCCCCATATTTGAACCTGTGACATATGTGTGTTTGCGTATATATATGTGGTTTTGCACATGCATTGTAATGTATTTTTTGTTTTTTGGATTTTTAAGTCTCTTCTGCTGTGTTTTTCAGTGTTTTATGAGTGATGGTCACTCATTGACCCGATAGGTGCATGGTGTCTATATTTGGTATCAATTATGAGGTATGAGTTATGTTAATCCCACAAATGAACATTACATTTTTATTTATATAGATATCTTATTTTATTGTTTTACCCCACTTCCACCCTCTGCCCCTTCCCCTTGGACATACCCTTTGTACAATAAATTGCAAAAATTACATTTGAAATTTCAATCTTAATCTCAGCTGGTATAAATATTTAGTTAAGATGTTAAATATGGAAATAAATTGTAAATTGAACAATACAGATAAAATAGAAAATGTTATAATAATTAAGAGTATGTGGGATCCAGTTAGGAATTACTTAAAGACTGTATTAAGATGTAGACTGGAAAAACTGAGATGTTAAAACATTTTCAACTCTTCTTGCACCTTAAGGAGTAAGTGATGATGAAATAATTAGTAATCTTATGTCAAATCTATTTAAACAACAGATTAATTATTAATGTAGTTAGAAGGATTAATGCCGTCCTTTTGACCAAACTCTTACTTACAGGATTTACAGGCTTTAACTCAATATGTTCCCGAGGGGATTGTTGGTAGGAGTAAGTGTCAAGTCCACCTATGAAATCAACTGAAATGCAACACAGCTGACATAAATTTGCAAGAAGAAATGGTTTAATATTGAAGTGAATGGAAACGATAACAAATAATGATGAATAGAACACTATACTAAGGATGTGCGTAGTGCATATGGATGTGTGCATGCACACACTCACATGGACTATATACTAGGACACTCACTGAAAAGTCAACAAGACAGGAAACTAGATCTGTGTAAATTTTGTCCTCAGAGGAAAGAACTGATAACTTTACCTTTCATTGCAAGAAGCTTGTTGAGAACTGCAGTTTTCAGAGAATATTGCAAAAATATGCCCTTTCACATAAAACAAATGTCCTGTAAAGGATGCCACATTTTATGTGTAGAAAATAACATTCCAAGGAAATTTTCTGAGTACCTTCTGCATGAGCAGAAATCCTGATGAGTTAGGGAGGTTAGACATGTCCACAAATGTAACCACTATTTTCTATAAAGTTCAGTATTACTACTTTAAATCTATTCCTATCAATAGGCAGAGTGAAGCTGTTGCCTTTGGGGTATCATAAAGAGACAGATCTAGTTTGTACATACCATGCATGATCTTTCAATTCCTCTTTCTCAGCCAGCAAAATATTTGCTTTACCTTGTAAATATTTGAGCTTTATATAGACATGTGACAAATTACTGGCAGTGCTTGCATTTCATGACTTAATGATCCCAAGATGTCTTTACCATGTATTTTTCAATATACACTCATTTAGACAGATGAGCTCTATCATGAATCTGATGAGCTCTATCATGAGTCTTGGGCCCTTCCACACTATACAATCATGTAGTAAAGGTTTCCCCTTGACATTAAGTCTAGGTGAGTCCAACTCTGGGGGGGGGGGTATTCATGTCTGAAGAAGTGGAATTGTCTGTAGACACCTCCAAGGTCATGTGGCTGGCATGACTGCATGGAGTGCAGTTATCTTCCTGCCAAAGCAGTACCAATTGATCCACTCACATTTTCATGTTTTCGAAGTGCGAGGTTGACAGAAGCTGGGGCTAACAGTGGGAGCTCACCCTGCTCCCTGGATTAAACCTGCAGCCTTTTCATAAGCAAGTTCAGCAGCTCAGTGGTTTAACCCACTGAGCCACCAGGGGCTCCCATGTAGCTACATTCCACTTTAATTGCCATGGCAATATTTTGCAGAATACTTGCTTTTCAGCCAGAGCACTCTAGAGTTTATCAAGCTACATATCCCAGGATCCCATAGGATGCAACTACAGCAGTTAAAATGGAATCATAGCGCTATAATTGTGAGATGTGAAAGGGATTCAGTTCTAATGAAATATATACAGAAGAGTCTCGCTTATCCAACCTTCACTCATCCAACATTCTGTATTTTCCAATGCAGTGTGCCTCCTGCCCGGATCCACAGCTGTTTCAATACATTGAGATGTTTTGGTGCTAAATTAGTAAATACAGTAATTACTACATAATGTTACCATGTATTGAAGTGCTTTTTCTGTCGATTTGTTGTAAAACATGATGTTTTGGTGCTTAATTTGTAAAATCATAATGTAATTTGACATTTAATAGTATTTACCTTAATCCCTCCTTATAATCCAACATTTTTGTTTATCCAACGTTCTGCTGGCCTGTTTATGTTGGACAAGCGAGACTCTACTGTATTACAATAAATCAAGTTACAATTGAACTGCAGTTTCACTTAAGGGAAAAAAACAAAACAAAACAAAACAAAAAATATTCTTGCATCCAGCTCAGTTCAGGGCAGATAGTGGACACAATCTGGGTTTATAATTGCTTGATCCAAATGGGCTGACTAAAAGTGAGAGCTATCACAAGCACAAACACTTGCATAAAATGAACCTTCAGACAATAGAGATTAATCAGATAGATTTTCAGTATTAAGAAAAATACATTTCTCGGCACTATCCAAGTACAGCAAGCAATCCAGATTTGGTTTCAGAAGTGGAAATGGATCTAATCAGGAAATACTATTATGCATTGTGTTATGCTTGTGATGTAGTCCTGCATCTATTCTAGAAGATTAATGGTGTGAAAGGTATCAATCTTTTTAAATTCTCCAGTAAAAATAGCCTCATTGACTCCAAAGGAATTGGAGACAGAAAAGCTAGGCTGTCTCATGCCTGGTTGATGGCTATGCCGTGTGTGAAAGCTTTTACAGATTGTCAAAATGATGGCAATAAACTTTAATTTGGGAAGGCACAAATGGGGGGATTACAATCAAAGGGGAGTACATTTTTATTTTCTATATAGTGAAACAACCTATGCATTAAGGAACAGTTTCCGATACTTATCTACTAGGGAAAGCACCAACGGCAGAATACAGTTTTAAAGTAATGTCTTGCAGATTTGAAGAGGGGGATATCAATAACCTACAGATCACTGAGTGTTGCAGATGGAACTAGTTGTTTTAGCCATGGCAGACTTCAAGATGTGATTTATTTTCCAAGGATTATTGCTTTGTGGCTCTGAAAGCTAACAATGTGACTAATATACCATGTCAGCCTCCCTCAGTTTGGATTACAGCTCTTATCACTGAATTGTTTTAACGGTTTCTTTGTTGTTTTATATTTTAACTGAATTGTTTTAATAATGGTAAGATTTAATTCTGTTTAAATATATTTGTATTGTAACTGTAGCTTTTTAAAGGCTGTGAGCTGCTTTGAGTCTTGGTTCCTGAGATAAAAATGAAATATAAGGAAATATAACCATCCCCATAGATACTGGTTAATAGGAGCTGCAATCCAATACAGACTCAAAATCTTGGTGATAAGCTGCTTAAACACTGCTGTCTTCTCCTTTTATGCTCAGAAATAAGTCCTGTTCAATGCAGTGGCACTTATAATCAAGAAAGTATGGAGAGAGCTGGCATGTACATTGCCTAAAATAGTAAAATGAATGTGGTGGAGAATTGGTACCATTAATAATTTTATGCTAGAATAAGTAACAGAGAGCAATTGATTTGAAAATACTGTAGTCCATTCCCCTTAGCTAATGCAAAAAAACTTTAAAAGATCAGAAAAACATGGAGTGAGGTCAGAAGGTTGTGTGCAGCTAAAACCAAATGTGTATTATTTATAGGACAAATACAAATGAGTTGTGGGTAAGATGATGCTCTATTTCTAAGTAGCGTTTCCCACACTGTGCTCCTCCAGGTGTTTTGGACTTCAGCTCCCAGAAATCCCAACCAGCTTACCAGCTTCCAAGTCCCAGAAATCCAAGTCCCAGAAATCCCAGCCAGCTTACCAGTTGTTAAGAATTGTGGGAGCTGAAGTCTAAAACGTCTGGAGGAGCACAGTTTGAGGAAACTGGTCTGGAGACATTATCTGGTGACCATTTTTAGCAGGAATGTCAGGTATCATTCAGCTGACAGCACTGTTACCAGTCCTATTATGTCTAGATCATAATATCACCATCTTATAAATGACAATGTCACTGTTACATTACTTTTGGAGGCACTGAAGGCATAAGATTGGAAGTATCGAGGGGATTACTGCCTCGAATCACCTCCAGGTTGAGAGGGGTGGTATATAAATATGGTAAAAAAAATAAATAAATTACATAACTTAAATAAATAAAATAATGTCAGTAATGTTTATTCATTACTTGATTTACTTTCATGTGGTATTTTTTTTGGGGGGGGGGGGATTTGTTTCAAACTGCATGCAGCTTTCTTCTGCCTACAATTTTTCTTCCTTATGAACCCATCTGGGTTTTGGAGAGGCATTCTTTGCTGGGTTACAAACTCCTGACCCTACAAGAATAGCTGCCCACCATACTTTTAGGACATTTTTTCTCAAACTCTGCTCCTCCAGACAGCTTGGACTTCAGCCCCACAATTCTTAACTGGTAAGATGGCTGGGATTTCTGGGACTTGAAGTTCAAAACAAATGGAGGAGCAGAGTTTGAGAAACACTGCTTTAGGATGATCAGCAACATGACACAATTATTTTGTTTTAGACATATTCTGAATAAGATTCCTCCCCCTCCTATCTTCCCTATGTAGCCAATCTGACCTATATTTCATGAATCATATAAACATTGTGTAATATTTTTTGTATTGCTTATCTTTCATGTTTTATCATTTTTGTCTATTCAGTTTTAAAATGTGTGCAAATGTGCCTTCAGGTTGCTTAGGGTGGTGACTCAATTAATTTAATAAGACTTTCTTAGGGAATGAAACCCCAGAAGTGGGTTGCCATTGCATTCTTGGTCACCTATCTAAGTAGTAATGAGACCCGACCCTATTCCATTTCCAAGATGTGACAGGTATTAAAATACAGCCAGCCGTCCGTATCCATGGGTTCTGTATTCAAAAATATTTGAAGGGGGGGGGGGAGGGAATCCAAAAAACAAACTTTTGATTTTGTTACATGCTAAACAAAATACTGATGTGTAGGCTGGCATGCTCTACTGTAGCATCAGAGCAGCTGTAGGAGGAGTGACAGTAATCTTGATAAGGGATAAATAATCTCATAAGGAAGAAAAGGTTCCTGCAGACAACATACCTATTTTCCTTAGAAAACCTCATATATACAAATGTAAGCAATATATACAAAACACTGAGAATATTTTCACTGGCACTAAAAATAAAAATAATAATTTTTTATATCATAAACACAAAGGCATATGTGATAAATTTTTGCAAACAGAACCTGTCTTGTGTTCTCAGTAAAATACAATAGTATCTTTCCTGAATTTCAGTGTCATAGAGACGAGATTTTTCCAGCCAGCTCAAGATCCCATCAGCTCTGATAATGCACAGGCAGAAAAGGAGAACCATGGATGCCACATCAAGTGATCTGTGAGGTTAATACACACAACCAGAGTGGCCTTTAAAAGAAAACTGAGATYACAAGATAGCCGCATCAATTATCTGAATGTTCTGTCTGAACTCCATTCCACACTTCACAATAAAGATGCCATATATACTTGAGTATAAGCTGAGTTTTTCATCTCCTTTTTTGTGCTGAAAAAGCCCCCCCCCCCCCCCCCCCCA